GTACCCCATGTGACACACATCATTAAGACTATAACATATGACAGCACATAAGGTGCATCAGTAAGGAATTAGGGAAAATTCCTTACACTACCCCCCCCCCCCCCCTTAAGAAAGGTGGTCAATATCAGTCGCGCCACGGCGGGAAAGATAATCCCGTAATACCGAGTGCCCTTGCAGCGAGTCAGCCGGGACACACGTGTCGTCTTCACTTGTGCAATCCACCCAATGGAGAGGGAAATCGACGTGGCGTCCGGCGGGTGTCGAACGTATGCGATGAGCCAAAATCGTGTGAGGCTGCAGTGCCGGGTCTGACATAAGCCGAACATTTGGCGCGATGTTGGGGCGGGCGATGTCGGACGGCTGCGGGGCGACGTAATGGCGGAGCAGGCTGACGTGGAAAGCGTTGTTGATTTTCAGTCGTCCGGCAATAATAGCTTCGCCGTGATCGGGGTCAACATCCGAATGATGCGGAAAGGTCCCACGTAGCGGGGACGCAATTTGGCGGATTGGGGCACATGAAGATTCTTGGTTTCCAGTAGGACCATCTGCCCGTCACGGAAGGGTAACTTCTGTCGATGCCTGTCAGCGTAGCGGCTGGCAAGAATATTAGCCTTTCGGATAAACTCTGCTGCTTTGTCGCGGGCTGCCTGAAGTTCCGAGACGAACTGCTGCGACCGTGGTACTGAATTGTCGGGGGTCGTTGAAGAGGGTACCACGGGATCTATCCCGTAATTAAGGTGGTACGACGACCGATTGGTTGTCGCAGAGGGTGCGTTGTTGTACACAAATGTCAAAGTTATATTTAAGATATATCCTGCTTGCTGTAGTTACTGTGGTTATTGTTCTTTGCTGTTGGTGGTGCACCTCTTGATTGTGTTTCTCGACTATATCTTGTATGCTTTGCTTTTAGTGAAGCCCACTTGTTTGGTCAATTTCTCTCGACCCTTGCTCTCGCCACCCTCGATACCCGCTTGGCCTAGGCTTACTTTTAGTGAAGCCCACTTGTTTGGTCAATTTCTCTCGACCCTTGCTCTCGCCACCCTCGATACCCGCTTGGCCTAGGCTTCTAAGCCTAGGCCCTAGTTAAACCCGGTTACCAGTTTAGATCGCATCGTAACAGCAAATTCCAGCATGGGAAGTAAATCCTCCCACTTGGTCAAGTCGGGGCAGTTCGTGCGAATCAACTGCTCCATGGTCTGATTTGTCCGCTCTGTTTGATTGTCGGTTTGCGAGTGGTATGACGACGAAAACTGCAGGCGGGTGCCGTACTGTGCCCACGTCTCCTGCCAGAACTTCGACGTAAATTTCGGGTCTCGATCGCTGATGATCGCCGAAGGTAACCCGTGTAGTCTGACGACGGTCGAGATGAACAGCTTCGCAGTTTCTTCGGCGGTGATCGTCGTGCGGCATGGTGCGAAATGCGCCATTTTCGTTAGTCGGTCGACGATGACCAGCACGGAGTCGTTGCCTCTTGCGCCAGCCGGTAGCCCTGTGACGAAATCCATCGTCACCTGTTGCCACGGTCGTTCGGGTGGCTCGAGGGGTTGCAGCAACTCAGCTGGGCGTTGTCGCGACGACTTCATCGCTCGGCAGGTCGGGCAAGCCGGCACGTAGCGCTGCACGTTCGACGCCATGTCGGGCCAGTAATAATTCCGCTGCAGTAGCTTCAGTGTTTTATCAACGCCAAAATGCCCGTAAAATGTTAGAGTTGTGAACCTCTTGCGTCAGCAACTCTCGTATGGGTCGGTAGGAAGGTACCCAAACTCGGTTCGTACCGACTTTTAGGAAATAACTCCCATGTGGCGTGGTGACCCGTTGGTGTTCATTCGTCCTGAAGAAACGATCGGTCCTGTATCCGTGCTTGAATAGTCATGGTAATAATGGGTTGGAATGGGTGATTAGTACTGCTGCGGTCTGCATTGATGGGTGGGTCAGGGTGTCGGCGATGTTGTTGGCGCCCTTCTTATACGTGATGGTGTAGCGGAAATTTGACTCGAGATAATCGAGCCACCGGATTTGTCGCGGGTCTGCATTGATGGGCGGGCCAGGGCGTCGGGGATGTTGTTGGCGCCCTTCTTATACGTGATGGTGTAGCGGAAATTTGACTCGAGATAATCGAGCCACCAGATTTGTCGCGGGTTGAGTTGTGGTTGGCTGCGCATGTACTGTAATGACTTGTGGTCTGTCTTGATCGTGACGCCGGCTCCCATGAGATAACATCGCCAGGTACGAAATGCATGCACGATGGCGAGCTTTTCTTTGTCGTGTACAGGGTAGTTGCGCTTGGGCGGCTGCATTTTCCGTGACTCGTACGCGATTGGTTCCAGCCCTTTGCCGAAATCATGTAGAAGGACGGCGCCGACGACGAAATCGCTGGCATCCGTGACGACTTCAAACGGTCGAGATGGATCTGCCAGCCGAAGCTCCGGGGTTAAACTCATTTTTTTCCTGAGCTCGTTGAAGGCCAAATGTTCTCTCTCCTCCCGAAGAAATTGCGCGCCTTTGTGCAGTAGATCGGTTAACGACCTGGTCACCCCACCATATTCGGTACGAAACGGTGGACGTAGTTACCGAAGCCGAGGAAACTCTGCAATTCCGTGATGTTCGTAGGTGGCTTCCACTCCGAAATTGCTGTCACTTTGCGAGGGTCAATTTTAATACCCTCTCCCGAAACTACGTGCCCCCGGAACTCCAGCTCTGGCTGTAAGAATTCGCACTTAGAGCCCTTCGTAATCAGTCGGTTCTGCTGCAAGCATCGGAACACCTCCTCCAAATCCCGTAAATGCTCCTCCCAAGCCTTGCTGTACACCAGGATGTCGTCCAGGTAAACGATAACTTTTTTTATCCAGCATATCCAAGAACACCCCGTTCATGGTGAGTTGGAATGTCGAAGGCGCGTTTGTAAACCCAAACGGCATCACAGTATACTCTTAATAGCCGTAATGGGTGCAAAAAGCAGTCTTCGGGCAGTCGTCGGCGAGCACGGGAATTTTATGACCGCACGCTCATTGGTCGCGCATTGGGCCGAAAATGACTGCGCATCTACTGTTGGTCGTGCATTTTTGTCGGTTTTGTGTACAGTGTATGGGCCACGTTCGCGGCCGCCACCCACCCGAAATTTTCGGGTGGGGAATAGTACGAATCACTACCGCGGGATGAGACTCGTGCGAACAAGGAATTTCGGGGATACAAACCCTTGTAGGGTAATGTGTCGGGGAAAAAAAAACACCTCTAAAATGCCCTGGCGTGGCCACTCGAGCAATTATGGGACCCGTGGGCTAGAGCGAATCACCAAACAAGGCCCTCCAGCAATTCTCTCCGTTCATCAGAAATCGTGGAATTTCTGAGGGGTGGGGTGGGGGTGGGGAACCCATACCGAGCCGCAGGTTTCTGTAAGACCGTAGACCTGTCGGGCAGGTTTTTGTTTTGGCCCCCTAAACCAAACGGCTGTTGGTTGGGTCTGAGTTTTGCACCTGATCCGCGCCGCCCCAAAAAAAAACCAGGGATCGTACTATCAGGTGCCAGCCACCTTGAGCAAGCTAAACTTTGGCGGAATGCAAATGTGTCGCAGTAACGGCGAGTTCATCGGCGCCCGACATATACGGTATCTGCGCATCATCATCAGTGTTTCAAGGGAGCACGCCGTTGACTAAGATGGTGTCGGCGTCTCTTCGATTCTCGCCGCATCTGTGCATCAGCGCAAAGCAAGCTGACTGAAATGGTGCTCGGCTTATCTGTGTGCATCATCTGCTCAAGACACGCTGGTCCACGAATTTTGAGGGCGGTCCGTATTTCTACAACAGCTGTTAGACCAACAATGTCACAAACGGAACTTGCTGTCGCTATCGCTGGTAGCGACGACAGCGCAGTAGAGACTACAAAGGAAGGTCAGCCAGTGTCACTAGGAATGTCCTATAAGTCACGTGCCCCATTTCTTCTCGGCGTCTCATAATCTTCCTTTATCGTAGCCATGGGTCTGCCTTTCCGCGCCTCCTCTCGGAAGTTGCTACCCCACTACAGTTCCAGAGCTTCTCGCTGGCATTGTTCGCAAATCTTCGCTGTTTTCGTCACTGCGTTGTTCATCCGTGCGACAAGCGGCGGGCATGATTCGCGAAAGAGCCTTAACGGCCACCGCGACCGGGCGACTCGGGAGCCTGCGACGCTTCTGTCGTCTGATTCGGTCCTTCCTACTGCATATAATTCGGTTCTTAGTAGTAGTTATAAGGTGCTGGGTCGCTTGGAGCTTTACGAGGAGGACGGAATGGGAACCACCGCATCAGAGCCTCAGCTCGCGGATAGCACTGCGACATCGCAGCAACAAATGTCAGAGTTGTCGCCGTCACCAGCGTGCGATCTGGACGATGGGTCGTGGGAGGTTGACGACTCGTGGCCGCTCTACCAATCAGAGAGCTGTCCGTTCGCGCGAGAAGAAACGATGTGCGCGAAATATGGGCGAACGAATTTAGACTACGCGAAGCTGAGATGGGTGCTGGCTGACGAACGTGGTAACCCTAACAGAGGCACTGGCGACGACGCTACCGAAGATTCCGAAAAGTGTTCAATTCCAAAGATCACGGGTTCGAATCTATGCAGACGCGTTGCAGGGCATCGAATTGCGTTCGTGGGAGATTCGTTATCTCAAAACGCGTTTGAGGCAATGGCGTGTCTGATGCACCGATTCTTTGGAATGCCGGAAGTGCTGCTGCAGAATCATTATCACAGGGATCGTATGTACCACTGGCCTCGGTGCAACTTCACCATCCTGTTCTCGTTGTAAGCAGACCCGATGATCCTATCTTGCAACAACCCCCTTCTGTACCTCCCTCTCCTCTCCCTCCTCCATCCTTCCCCCAACCCCCCTTCGTTTATTATCCGCACAGTGACAATTATGATTTCCCCCCCTTTTTTTCTGTCCTTGGATTTGCGGCCAACTTGTCCGAGGTGGCATGGAACAAGGTCCTTGTAATTGCACCCAGCAGTACCCTCCCCCATTCAAAATCATGATCGTAATCTCTACTATCAATTTCTGTCCATGTCGTTGCAGCCACCAGTTTCTGTCTGAGGTGGCATGGAACAAGGTGGAGGTGTCAGACGGAGGGGCCATCCAGCTGGACCAATCAGGGAGGAGATGGACAACGCACATTAAAGATTTCAACACGTTTGTTATCAACTCAGGTACGGAAACAATATTTTCTGGTTTGCTTGTATCACCAACCGAAAAGGAGAGGACGTAGTGGCTGGGAGGAACTGAGATGGTTCGGGGTTCCACACACTCCCAGGATATTCCGCACTCCTCTCATTCCTTCCATTTTCAGTACTTGCTACTTTCCCTTTCGCCACTTGTCTCTCGCACCCAATTCCATAATCATGCTGTCATGTGTAGTCAATCCCTTTTCGTCCTTCTCTGCGTTTTTGTCCACAGGCCACTGGTGGTCCAAGAGACAACTGTCCCGCTACAACATCACTCTTGCATCGCCGTACGAATCCCTTCACTTTCTTGAAGCGTATCGTCATGCCCTCAACAGAACCCTCTCCGAGTTTCTACACCCAGAACTCACTAACAAGCAGGTCTTTGTCACGACCTCTGCCCCTTCTCACGACATTCAAGGCATATGCCCCAAGAAGAATGTTATCACGAAGGGCGACAATAAGCGACTGAACCAGGTGCGGCACCCATGGACGGTGGAAAAGAACAAGATATTGCTTAACATGGTTCGGGAGCTCGAGGAGAAGCAAGCGCAAGGTGCTAAGGGATACCGAGGAGCAAGAATTAAGCTTTTGGACATGTACAATATCACCCTGTATAGGCAAGAGGCGCACCCTTGGACAGACAATGCAAGGCATAATTGGGACTGCCTGCATTACTGCCTTCCGGGAGTGCCTGATGCATGGAATGAGATTCTTCTCTGGCAGATGGAGGCTGGAAAGCACAAGACTCGTACGTCGTTAACTGTTACTGCGTAGCTTGTTGCATGTTGGTGAAGAATAGTTCGCATACAGTACTGTGAATGCTACCAGTACCTAGGGTATTTGCTTCAACATGTTTTTAAGCCATATCCTGCACCCACTCAACAACCAAGCATCAAGCAGCATTGCCTTTGCTAATCAGTGGAACCAACAGTTGACAATATTATGTTTAGCTTATGGCGAGACGAGGTCAATATCTTTATACCAGCTTGTAACGATTTTTTCGCTTGCCGCTTCGCACCGATAGCTGACGCGTTCGCGGCAAGCCCAGGAGCTTGCAGCATCAGCAACACGGACCACACATTCTGACAGATCTCCCCGAACCGACCCAATCCCAAACCCAAGGCCGGCTCGGGCCGTGTCACTGTCACAAAAAGACCTTACGGCTCTCTTCGGTGAGTTCGATGGTGGTGTCCGGTTCTGTACAATTTGTAGCGGTTTGCACTTTATGTTCGCTTTGAAGCTCTTCGCCATTTTGGTTTGCATTGAGGCTATTCTCCTTGAATTCGGATGTGCCATGCATGACCTGTGGGAAGAACAACCGCCAATCGTGACCCAGCGCTAACCCAGGAGGAGGCTTTTAGGGGGCACCATATGCAAGCATGACATGACATACAAGAGCAGCATATCAACCATCGATCGTGACCAGCGCTAACCTAGGAGGCTTTTAGGGGGTACCATATGGTAGCATGCCATACAAGAGCAGCATATCCTTTCCACGAACGATTGACAGTCATGCTATTTATGTACAGTCTCGCTTCTTCAGCATATTCTCCGTCTGGCTTTTCTGTTGCTTGGAAAAGTAGGCGGGGTGCATGTGCATGTGTATCTACGAACTAGGTTGTAGGTCAACATATAAGGTCTGTGTAGCTCACTGCTCCAGATTCCCCAGCGAAAGTCTGTGAAGCTGTTTGCAGTTTTCAGCAACTTCATTTGGATAGTGTGCCAGTGGTCAAAGTCCATGTTTCATTTGGATAGTATGCGCGTCTCTGATTCGTTATTGTCGTGCACTACTGTTAACGACGTGGAGAAAATGCATTCCCTTAGGGTAAATATTTCAACGGAGGGACGCTCGAGTACGGTAGAAAGCGGATAATAAGCATCTCGCAGAACCCACCGAACTCTGCCAGCAAAAGCTCGTCAATGGTGAGACGATCCAGGATGAAAGAAGCCATGGCCGAGGGCTTTAGAGAAGCCAAAGCGTGGGTTCAGAGCCGGCCAGAAGTCATCAAAGCCGGCTGTCTCGCCTTAGCTCTCGCGCTTTTATTCTTGATCTACGCTCCGGCGTTCTTCTTTGGGTTGCTCGTCGGTGCTTCTGCCGTGATCGGCGGCGAGGTAATTCTTTTGAAGCATCTCTGGAGGAAGATTCGTCCTCCGAAGAAGGAAGGTTCGGAAGCGGGGAATGCGCCTGCGCCAGATCCTGTACCCGAGGACCTTCTGGAAACAACCTCGATATTGAAGGAGGTTCGTTAATTTTTACCACGACTTACAGATGAAAGCTTTTCGACTCTAAGTTATTATTCGAGCCGCATTGCTGGATCCCCCTGGACCAGATGAGCTCAGGAAACTACGCTGGTTCTGAAGGAGGTGCGGTCGTTTTCATTAAATGACCTGCTAGCGTGAAGGTTTTTAGGTTGAACACCACTCAGCGGAGGCTTTTCCTGCGTGAACCCTTGCTGTTACCCTGCACTGTAAATCCCTTCTCCAGTTGGCGTCTGTAACCCTAATTGGTTACCGTGTCACCCCTGCCTCGCAATTCCATCGGACTTGGCTTTGGCGTGTATGTCTCTAAATAGCTTCTTCATCTTCTCATCTCATTTCCCCCTGCGAGGTGCACAAAGCGTGGCGTGGGTCTCCCTCAGACAGTGCGAGGCAGACGAGGGCAAGTCGGGGTCAGTAACTTCGTCTTCCCTTTCACCCCTTTCAACTCCTTCTCATCTTCTCACCACACGGCACAGAGCGTGGCGTGGATCTCCCTCAGGCCGTGCGAGGCGGACGAGGGCAAGACCGGGTCAGGCAAGCTGCGCAAGAACGTGAAGCTGTTCGCGCCGCTGCTGCGCCTGGCGACTCTGGAGGTGGAGGAGCGGGTGCTGGTGCTGGCGGGCAGTCAGGGCGAGTCAGAAATGATCCCGCTGGATGGGTGCGACGTAAGGAGCTTCTCTGAGACCAGCGGGCCGGAGAAACGATGGTGAGCGGGGTGGGGGGGGTGAGGGGCTGGTGAGAGGTGAGTGCATGGGGAGTGAGGAGCGAGCGGGGAATCAGCGGGGAATGAGTGGGGTGTGCGTGGGGAATGGATGGTGAGCGATGGAGAGGGGTGGGTGGCGAGTCTGGAGGCAGAGGAGTGGGTGCTGGTGCACTGCCCTCTCTCCCTGTCCAATCAAACCCCCTCCCTCCCCCTTCCCCCTCTTCCACCCTACCACTTTCCTCTCTTCGCCCCCCCCCCCCCCTCCCCTCCTCACAGGGCTCGCAAGTTCCCCATTCGCATAAGCCACCCGTCCCGCATCCTCTTTCAAAACGCCAGGGAGTTTTTCATCTACTTCCCCAACGGCCGCGTCAAGCAGGCCTGGTGCCGAGCCTTGCGCGCCGCAGCCTTCCCCGAATCAGAGGACACCCTCTGGCAGGTTCGGGTTTCCCAAGCCTACGCCGTCTACCTCGGGAAGATCCGAGCCTCGCGCCCGGACCTGTGGGTGAACATGGAGGCTACGGAATTGGAGGGCGTGGGGGAGGATGCGCGGGGGGAGGGGGAGGGCGGGGGGAAGACTGGGCGGTGGGGGGAGGGGAGGATGGGGCAGAGGAAGTGGTTGAGAAAAATACGGACGAAGCAGGGCGGGGGAATGGGGCCCAGGAGCGGCAGTGGAGGTGGGGGGACGTGGGTGACAGGAGGAGGAGGAGGAGGAGGCGTATGGGGGGGAGGAGGAGGAGGCGTGACAGGGGCAGGAGCAGGGGGAGGGGGAGGGGGAGCAGCAGGGACGATGACTGGGGAGGATACGAGTGGGGAGGGGGGTCTGTGGGGGAGTTTCAGCGTGAGCTCTTGGAGCAGTGGCAGTGCCAGCGGGGGGGGTAGCGGCTGGGGCGTACGGAGCGGCAGCTTCGGCACCGCAGGCTCGGACGGGTCGCTGCTCCGGCCTCCGAACCTGAAGGCTTTGTTCAGGAAGGAGCAGTCGTTTTTGCAGCAGCCGGTGCATGGTCAGAGAGCGATGCTGCTCCTGTCTGCTCCTCCGGTGGCTTCTTCCGGTCCCATGCCAGCAGCATTGCAGTCAGAGCAGCATCAGCAGCAGCAGCATCAGCAACAACAGCAGCAACAGCAACAGCAGCAGCAGCAGCAGCAGCAGCAGCAGCAGCAGCAGCAGCAGCAGCAGCAGCAGCAGCAGCAGCAGCAGCAGCACCATCACCACAATCAGCAGCACCAGCAGCATCGGGACCTCCCCCCTCTGCCAGCTATCCCCTCTGGCCGCTCACTACCGTATTCCCAATCCATTGAGTCAGATGCTGCCAATACCACTGCCGCTGGTTCTGGCACCAGTTGGGTTGGTGGGGCGGGTAGCTTTGGAGGCAGTAGCAGCATTGGTAGTAGCTGTGGCGATGCTGCTGCTGCTGGTGGCACCGGTGCTGCTGGTGCTGCGGCTGCTGCTAGTGGTGCAGGAGGGGGATGGGAGGATGGTCCAGCAGGGGAGGAGAGTTCTCTCTGGGCCTTTAAGCGCAGCCACACTGACACTTCCGTGCGTCGGCCGAGAGTCTTCAACAGTGAAGGGAACACCACTGAACCCACCTCCACCGCTGCATCCTCTGAAATCAACTCGTGTGGGATAATTTACTCTGGGGCCGGATCATCGGTGAACAACCCATCGGGAACTAACTTGTCCGGATTTAACCTGCCCGGATTTAACCTGTCTGGAGTCAACTTGCCCGGATTCAACCTGCCTGGAGTCAATTTGACTGGGGTCAACTTGAGTGGAGTCAACTTGACGGGAGTCAACTCGTCTGGAGTGAGGAAGAGGGGGCATGGGGAGCGATCACAGCTGGAAGGAGTGGCAGATGGGTCTGTCGCTGTCCCACCATTTGACAGTCCGTTCCCCTCTTCACCGTCAGATTCTTCAACAGCAGCAGGAGCCGCAGGAGCAGCAGCAACAGCAGTGGCAGCAGAAAGAGAGGAGGGTCCAGAGGAGAGTGGGCCGGTGGCGTTCAGTGGGCCTGTGACTCAGGCAGAGGCTGCAGCAGCCGTTGCTGCCATTGAAATGACCCACAGGGCAACCATGCACCATGGCGCGTATGGGCAGGTGGACGGGCAGGTGGGCGGGTTTAGTGGCATTGGCATTGCGTCAGGTCCTAATGGTATACCATACCCTAGTGACCTCAGTGTTATACTTTCTGGCGTGCCCACTTGCCCTCCCGCTGCTCCTCTTGGCAGCACTGTTGCTTCAGATGACGCTGTTGCCACTGATGCTACCTCTGCTGCTGCCGCTGCAGCTGCAGGTGCGGCTGCTGGTGCAGGTGGTACTGGTGGTGCAAGTGGTGCTGGTAATCCTGGTGAGAGTGGTGGTGGTGGTGGTGGTGGTGGTGGGGGTGTGGGTGGAGGCAGCAGTGGGGAGCCAGAGGGGGCGGTGCAGTGGGCGAATGCGCTGCTGTGCCGGCTCTACTTTGACCTTTCTCAGGAGGACGCGCTCAGCAAGAAGCTCCAGGCCAAGTTCTCGGTGCGTTAACGTGCAGGCAGAGTTTTAGTCTAGATACGTGCCAGCCAAAATCTAGGTTCGTGCTAGCCAAGGTCTAGGTAAGCGCTGGCTTAGATTCAGGGCACGTGGAATCCAGACTCAGGGCACGTGGAATCCAGACTCAGGGCACGTGGAATCCAGACTCAGGGCACGTGGAATCCAGATTCAGGGCACGTGGAATCCAGACTCAGGGCACGTGGAATCCAGATTCAGGGCTCGTGGAATCCAGATTCAGGGCACGTGGAATCCAGATTCAGGATCTTTGAAGTTCTATCTTAGTCCCTTCTTCTTCCCTCTCTCACCCATGTCTCCTGCACCAACTACTCTTCGCCTCCTATCCCTCTCCCCTTGAGACTCAGGCACCTTAAAAAAGACTTAAGGATACCTTATTTTCTGCCCCCGCCCGCGTACCCCCCTTCCCCTTGTCTTCAGGAGAAGCTATCGCTAGTCATCACACCATCCATCATGGGTCCCATCTCCTGCACCAAGCTGTCACTCCCCATCCCTGCTCCCCCTCCCTCATGCCCCTCTCCCTTATGCCCCCGGCCCCCACATCCTCAGGAGAAGCTGTTGCTAGTCATCACACCATCCATCATGGGTCCCATCTCCTGCACCAAGCTGTCACTCCCCATCCCTGCTCCCCCTCCCTCATGCCCCTCTCCCTTATGCCCCCGGCCCCCACATCCTCAGGAGAAGCTGTTGCTAGTCATCACACCATCCATCATGGGTCCCATCTCCTGCACCAAGCTGTCACTCCCCATCCCTGCTTCCCCTCCCTCGTGCCCTCCTCCCTTATGCCCCCGGCCCCCACATCCTCAGGAGAAGCTGTCGCTAGTCATCACACCATCCATCATGGGTCCCATCTCCTGCACCAAGCTGTCGCTCGGCCCCATCCCTCCTCTCATCCGCTCCATGCGCACAGTCAACCTCGCCATGCCAGGTAAACACACATTGCCTCTACCATAATCATCCCCTATCAATCCTTCCTCCTTCGCTCATTGTCCCCCATTCCCCTCCACTCGTTCTCGCCCACCTTTCTCCTCATGTGCCTGCGAATACAACTATGCACCTCATAGTTTTCTCCCCTCTTTGTTTCCTACCCTTGCATCTCCTCTCCTTACTAGGGGGCGATCTTGCCCTAGACGTGGATTTGGAGTTTAAGGGAGCAGCCACCATGACAATAGAGACCAGCATTGACATGCGAGAAACGCAGTTCCTCAAAATGTGGGAGGAACGGGACCTTTCCCGGGCAGAAAAAGAGTCTGAGAGGAGGGCGGAGTATTCTGGGCAGGTGGAAAACACTCCGTTGGCTGCAGGCTCGGAACCGGCTTCTTCTGACGGGTCGGCGGGAGGTTCGGCAGGTGCAGGAGGAGGCTCGGATGGAGCAGGTTCGGTCGGACCTGGAGCCGGACCTGAGCGGCTGGGCCGGCGAGGGTCGGGCTTGGGGGAGGCTCTGATGAGTGACGAGACTGCTGCTGCTCTGGTGGGGGATATGGAGGTGGCTGAAGATGTGACTATAGAGGGCGCTGCTACAGCCCCAGCTACCCCTGCCAAGAGCACCACGCCAACCAAGGCAGGCAGGAAGAGGAATATCATTCGAGGAGTGCGGGGCATGGTCAGCAACATGGCCAACAGCCTCTCCCAGGTAAGCTTCTTTCTTATCAGTTGAACCTTCCCCAGGTAGGCGTTCAATGTGCATTTGCACTTTGCATTCGAGGGGTACGAGGCATGGTCAGCAACATGGCCAACAGCCTCTCCCAGGTAAGCTTCTTTCTTATCAGTTGAGCCTTCCCCAGGTAGGCGTTCAATGTGCATTTGCACTTTGCATTCGAGGGGTACGAGGCATGGTCAGCAACATGGCCAACAGCCTCTCCCGTGTAAGCCTCCCCCAGGTAAGCCTCCCCCAGGTAAGCCTCCCAACAACCAGGTCCTCTTACTCTCTCCTTCAATTTTCAACATCACATCCGTTAAAGGAACAATGCTCTGGATACCCTTCCCCTTGTTCTACCCCTCCCGTCCCCTCACCCCCTCTTCCTCCCCACCCCTCCAACCAGGTCCCCCTCACTCTCTCCTTCAATATCACATCTGTTAAAGGAACACTGCGCATCCGGGTACCCGCCCCTCCTTCCGACTGTCTCTGGATGTCGTTCGTTGAGATGCCCGAGATCGAGATGCAATCCATGCCGTCCATTGGCGATCTCAAGCTCAAGCGCTACCCCATGGCCATGCTCCTGATCGAAAAGCTCAAGGTGGGAGGGTGGGTGGGAGGGAGGGTGGGTGGGGATGGCTTGCTCTCACGGGGAGTTCGTTTGTTTGTGTGACGTACGTAACTGGGTGGGTGGGTGGGTGGGTGCGAAGCTCAAGCGCTACCCAATGGCCACGCTCCTGATCGAAAAGCTCAAGGTGGGTGGGTGGCTGTTGGAACAATTTGTCTGTAAAGCACTACATTATGCCCACATCTCCATGTCTCCATGTCTCCACATATCCCCTCCTCTTATGGCGTCCATATCCCCCATCAGGCACTGATCAAGTGCTCTCTGGTGCATCCCAGTTGTGTGGACGCAAAGAAAACTCCACCATGGAGCCCCCAAATAACAAATCAGAAGCCAGAAGCCAAACCTGAAGAATTGAATCCCCCCCCTTCCTTCCCCTTCTTACCCTTTCCACCCCCATCAGGCACTGATCAAGCGCTCTCTGGTGCAGCCCAGCTGTGTGGATGCCAAGCTCCGCTTCATGCTCTCAGACCCGCACGACTGGTTACCGCGTCAACCCTGCATGTTACCCTGGCGCCCCCCTGTCGACGCTGCTGTCAACCCCCCTCCCTCCACCCTCCCCACTTCCTCCTCGTTCTTCACTCCCTCGTCGTCCCAAACCTCTCTCTCCGGGCTGGCCCAGGCCTCCGCCGGCTCGGACAGCCGAGGCTCGGATGCCCGAGGCTATACGGTGAAAGGCTCGGGAGGAGGTTTGGACAGGGAAGGGAGGGATGGGGAAGGCTCGGGTGCAGGTATTGGCGATTCTGGTGGGATTAGCACTACCAGTGGCGGTGGTGGTGTAGCTGGTGCTGCCGGTGGTGGTGCTGCTGGTGGGTCGGCTGGGAGTGCGAAGATAGGTCGGGATGGCACGAGAGGGTCTGTGAGGGGGCTGGTGGGCGGGATAATGACGAGAAGGCAAGGGGTAGTCACAAGCAGCCCTGCACTCGATCTAGTCGCAAGGCGGACTGGCAGCAACCAGAGTCTTAGCTCTGGCGCCGTTGCTACTGCTGCTGCTGTTGGGCCACCTAAATCGCCTATCAGGGGTGCCGCTGGTGGTGCTGCTGGGTTGGGAGGTAGGCAAAGAGGAGCAGGAGGGGCTGGGGAGTTGGGAGGAGGGGGAGGAGGGTCAGCAGCAGGAGGAGGGAAAGCAGCAGCATTGCTGGTGTCGGGGGGGGAAAGAAGCAACAGTGATTCAGCTCTGGTCCCTAACGTTTGCCCCTCTTCTCCTCTCAGAAGACTTTCGCCGTTCCATCTTGGTTTGAAGGAGCATGAGCCACAGCAGCAGCAGCAGCAGCAGCAACAACAACAGCAGGACACCAGTTTCTCTTCGTCTAACTCACAATCCATACCAGCAGCAACAGCTGCCAGCAACACCAGCGTCCCTTCCCCCTCTTTCTCTGCCTCCTCACCCCCGGTACCTCCACCCCCTTCCTCCTCTACAACCTTCTCACCACTCTCCACTCCTGCGCTTGCCTCTTCCACCTCAACAGCTCGCCACCTCCTCTCAGCAGCCAAGTCACACTTGAAAAGCGCAGCTTCTGCAATCAAACCCTCCTCTTCCACTCCCTCCTCTTCGTTTACCTCTGCAGCCTTCTTTTCCTCTTCAGGCGAGTTTGGTAAAGCCAGAGAAGGCTACACTGCTGCCACTACCACTGCCTCTGCAGCCTTCCTGTCCTCTTCAGGCGAGTTCGGTAAAGCCAGTGCAGCCAGTGAAGGTTACACTGCTGTTGCCACTGCCGCCACTTCTGCTGTCCGGAATTCTGCTGCTGAGGGTACGGGAACAGCGATGATGGCAGCAGCAGCAACATTTTTGGGCGGTGCTGCTGCCACTGCTGCTGCTGGCGCTGCTGCCATTGGTTCAGTTGCCGGTGGCACTACTTCTGCTGCTACCGCCGTAGGTTCGGTTGCTGTTGGCTCTTGTGCTGGTGCTGCTGGTATGGCCGCAGGTTCGGAGGCAGGCTCGGCAGAGGTACCTGTTCATCAACCTGCCTCGTCACCACCGGTGCTCCGTCTCCCATCATCCAGCTCTTCACCCAACATTGCTGAGGCACAGCCACAGCTCCAACCAGCACCTGTCTCGTCCTCGTTATTGTCCGATCCGCTATTTTTCGACAAGCAGCAGGGAAGCAACGAAAGCGCAGGTTCCCGCGCGGCTGCCATTGCTGGTATGAGTGGCGGTGGTGGCAGCACAGGTGGTGGGGGTGGTGTGGTGGGGCTGGGTGGGGGCTTGGGGGTGGGCTTGGGGGTGGGGCGAATGAGAGCGAGCATGGCTGGAGAGCTCTTTGAAGGGCTGAGACTATCCAAAGCATCAAGGATGGCTGCACGGGAGAGAAGGAGGGCTGGAAGGGACCGCGGAGGAGGAGGACGGGGAGGAGGGGTTGGTGGTAGTGGGGATGTGGATGGGGAGGTAGGTTCAGCGGACGAGGGTTCGTCGCAGCAGCAGCCAGTACGAGGGTTTGAGGCGTTTAAGCAGAGTCTGGGGGTGCGTGGGAGCGAATGGTTGGATAGGGGGAGGGAGAAGGATAAGGATCGGGAGAGGTGGGCCATGGCAGCGATTGCGAGGGTGGCTGCAATGAGGAAGAAAGCAAGGGGGAGCGCGAGGGGGAGCTGGGATGGGTCGGAGTTTGGGGGTATGGGGGATGGGGAAGATGCAGGGCTGGATGGTTTGGACGGTTTGGATGGGTTGGATGCAGTGGACGGGCTTGATCGTGATGCCTCTGCTGCTGCTGCTGGTGGTTCTGGGGTACCAGGGTCGATGAGGGAAGATGCTAGCTTTGGGCTGTTCTCTGGGAGATCTGCTCTGATGATGGTGGGAGGGGGATTGGGAGGAGGAGCGGGAGGAGGGGTGGGGGGATTCAGGGGTGTTGCTGGGGGGGCGGCGGGTGGAGGACTGGTTGGGGGACTGAGGAGAATGGGAAGGAGCAAGAGTGGGAAGGGCAGGGAAGAGGAGGGCACAGGAACAAGCCAGGGAGTGGGTTCGAGGGAGGAACAGGAGGGGGTGGGGACGGAGGGGGAGGAAGGGGAGGAAGTGTCGGAAGGCTGGGCTGATGCGAGAAGCTTCACGGTGCCGATAGTGAGAGCGAAGAGCTGGGAAGTGGGGAATCCGGAGGTGATGCGGACCCAGCTGTCATCTCGCAGTGTTCGAGGCGAGGCAGGGTTGGCAGTGTTGGATGGGGATGGTGTGGGATCGACGGCTAGAAATGATTCGGAACGAACGGTTTCTTCTGGTACAATCATAACAGCTGAGCACACAGCATCACCAGGTGTTACAGCCAGCACTGCAGGAAATGCTACTTCTGGGGGTGTCATCTCAGTAGTAGCGACCAGTGGGGTTAGACGAGGGAGTGGGGGAGCAGCAGATGCGGCGGCGGCAGCTTTAGTGGTTCGGCAGCAAGAAGGCCCCGGGTCTGGTGGCGAGGGTGGGGAGAGTGGGGAGGAGAGAGAGGGCAAGTGGGGGGATAGGATGGCTAGGGCAAAGGAGTTTGTGGGGAGGATAGGGAATAGGGAGGCGAGGGAGAGGCTTGAGGATAAGGCTAAGAAGGTGTTGGGATTCTTGCACCGAGGGGAGAAAGCGGAACAGTGAAAAGAGGGATGAGTGCATGTGCCGTCGCGGATGTATGTGATATGTAACAGGAAAATCAATGTGATTTTGTATGTTACCTAGTTTCAAGAAACTGTTTGAATTCTGTTTTCTTTTGAAGGGTGTTTTTCAGTGTTTGATAGCTGGTGACCAGGAGCTGCTTCGCTGACGGTGCTTGGGTCTACGAACTTCGCGAATGATCGGCTGTTTCTGATGCCCTCCCGCCTGCAACTCGATGCCCTCCCGCTGCGAAAGCCTGGTCTTCTGTTCCTCAGTGGCGACGAACCGCATTTGTGTCAGCACTTCGCCAACATTTGAATATTTCCATCACGACACATGATGCCTGGGCCACTTCACGCGGTCCTGTCCCCTCCGCTCCACAGTCACACACACCTTCCGGTCAGGAAGGCAGCTTATGATCCATCCGATCGTATTAACAACTCATCTGGACCGTCCGTTTGTTCGTTTCCAGTCCGTCGACTGAAATTGCTCGGATCGCATCGCAGGCACAGGCAGGCAATCTCGAAGCACCTCGATTATTTCGCCGTGCCTTGGAAATTGCGATTGCGAGCTTCGGTCTGTGCAGGGTTGAGTATCTGCTGGTCGCGTGTTTCTCAGCGAACCCACACGGCTGTTGCTAGTTTCTCCCAACCCACACGTTGCTCACAAGTATATGCGAAACTTACAATTGTCTCGTCAAGACGATTACAATTATATGCGCTAGTTTGTTACACACGCGGCTGTTGCTAGCCAACGTAGCGTAGCCTGTGGTCTAGCCGTGATTGGGTGATAAAGGTCGCATCTGTGCTACGCTAATCACCTCCGTACTTACAAATAAGCAAGCCGTAGCTGTACCTTTTACTTACCGCGCCCCGAACGCCAATATCTCTTTGGCATCGACTAATTCTCTGAGAGGCACTACGTTTCGCCAATAATAATTACCGTGGGCGTTTTCGTTACTCTAAGCTTAGTAATTTCTATTATTCTTTCGTACTTCGAGCCTTCACGACCCCAACAAGAGCTGTTATTCGTTACAAACTCGATATTGGCAGACTTAACGTTGTATGTACCGAATTGTCGGAGTTAGTCGGTCGAGAAGGCAAAACGACGAGATGCTGGTAAGCCTACTAGACACCGATACCTATTATAAGGTACTGGAGTGGTTCGAGTGTTACTCTGGTTTTTTTCTATCAGTCAAATTGACTTTCTTCGTGTGCAAGTGAGGTGGGAATCTGAATAAACGCGGTAATTAAATTGAATGTTTTTTACGTCAGGATGGTTCCTTGTACTTGTCTGCAACATATGCGGTGGAAGTATGCACTTTAACTACAATAACGTTGCGATCGCTATTACATGTGAAAGGCTCGTTACGATCTCATTGCACACTTCTGTTAGCCGCTTCTGGCGACAGAATGGGAGTGGTTATGGTCTTTCAGGCATGAAAACGCTTGCAATGCGCATTGCAAGCGCAAGAAAACTGTCGCAAAAAATAAGGAGAACGTGATCCATAGCTGTTCAAAAAAATCGATAATACATGAACCACACCCTTGGGAGCTCCGCCGGCATTCTCAAGGCGCAGGTTGAGAGGTTCTCTTCCGCTCTCTTTCACTCTCTCTGTTGCTTCCTCCAACGTTTCCCGTTCCTGCTCCACCCCTTTCCCCTCACCCGCTTCCGATCCTCCTCCTTTCGTGTTTCCGCCGCCTTCCTTTATTTCGTGACAATAATCCCGACAGTTTCGAGCGGCAAAGACGGTGGTATGCTGCACTCTCGGGCCCATCGTATGGGGATTGCTCTCGCTGCTCTTCCTCCTCCTCGTCGCCCTTGGAATCACGGCGCTCGTGCTCTACTTCGTGTACAAACCGCAGGTGCGTGTTAGCCAGTCTCGTGTGACTCGATTGCGGCGCTCGTGCTCTACTTCGTGTACAAACCGCAGGTTCGTGTGACTCCCGTGTGACCACTCCCGTGTGAGTCGAGTGTTGCAACGTCTGTCTCAGTACCCCAGTTGTGCGTGAGTCCTGTGTGGCCATCCTTGTGTGAGTTAATTTCTTGTTACTTTCGTGTGAGATCACTGCGCTCGTGCTCTACTTCGTGTACAAACCGCAAAGTCTGTTGCCTGATCTCTTTGCTAATTCTCTAACGCCAATTCCCATATGTTTGTCGTTGGTGCAGTGATTGCCGATCATATGTTTGTCTCTGCCCTATCTTGCTGCTGAACTAAAATGTAGCATGTTTTTCTCTGCCTCCCTTCCCTCCCTCCAGCTACCAGAGTGCGACGTTCAGAACGTAACAGTAAACAGGCTCAACGTCACTCGCCTGACTTCGTTTCCCTTCAACGAAACGGCCTACGCAGCTCTAGCCACCATGAGCGCCGCCGACAGAGCAGCCGCATTGGGAGTCCCAGGCAACTACAGCGCCAACTCAACTGACCCATCCTCGTCATCAGCAAATCCGTTATTAGCATCTCCACTAGATGCTCTCGGGAATGCTACTGTGCCGCCGAGGCTCGGCCTGAATGCTGACGTGGGATTCACGTTGGAGACGCGGAATCCGAACAAGGTCGCGATTGACTATAAATACGTCAACGTGTCGATTATCTACAGAGGCGTCACTGTGGGAAACACGTCGGTAAGTCCTATGCCATGCTCTTTCTTTCTCCTGAACTCCCAAACTTTCGCCACAACGCGTCTGCCAGTTTCTTGCCACTTCAAAGAAATAGTTGGTTTAACCATTTTCTCTCTGTTGACTCCCCATACGGGCATTGCCTACGTCAAGAGATAGTTGTTTTAACCTTACAAAACATTCCTTGCCTACGTCTGCTTCTTAACCGCTTCTTAGTCTCTCTGTTGACTTCCCATACGGGCATCCGGGGTCTTTCCGCTTCTTATACTTCTGGATTTCGATACTAGCTCGCAACGCTCTTTCCTGATTGCCCCCCAACTACTGCAGATTCCACCATTCACGCAGCAGGCGCAGACCAACACGAGTGTGCCAGCAGAGCTCCTAGTACTAGACTTCCCGCTCGATATAGTCACGGGGCCTGTCATGCTGGCGGATTTGAACGCTGGAAACGTTCCCCTACAGGTACTGCTCCTCTACATGTTGTGTTCCCCTACAGGTACTGCTCCTCTACATGTGTTCCCCTACAGGTACTGCTCCTCTACATGTTGTGTTCCCCTACAGGTACTGCTCCTCTACATGTTGTGTTCCTTTGCACGCAATCTTCCTCTAGAGTTCCTTTTCAGGTTGTTCTCCTCTCTGCATCCTTTATGGCATCCGCTCGTTTGGCTTTCCCTTGTTTTGAGTCGACTCAAAAGAAACATCTGCACTTTTGCCTTCCCCTTGTGAGCAAGAGACATTTTTTTTAGAATTCTCAGGAACCTCTGTGTCCTGTTATCCCCATGTCACAGTTGCTGCTTTAACTTGGGAGAGGAGGTTCGCCATAGAACTGAGACGCCGCAGTTACGTCTCACAGATATGTTTTCAGTTATTAGCACTTCAGAACTTGAGATGTCTCTCTGCTCCCCTGTCCCCATGGCACAGTTGCTGCTTCAACTAGGGGCAAGGATCAACATTTTAGGGGTGGCATCTCCGTTTGCTCTGGTGAGTGCGCATGCCCCGTCCCCTTCTCTTCCTTGTAATCCGGGTGAGTTGCATCTCTGGCCATTCCTCACCCCTCCCCCCTTACACCGTGTATATACAGCCTTCAATTTCTCTAAAAACCCCTCCTTTTTCTATGGCGCCCCTTTTACTCATTACTGTTGATCCCTCCGCGTGTTCCCTCCCACGCCGTTTTGCACCAGGTCGGTTTGTTGTGCGACGTCACAGCTGATCCAATAACGAGGACAGTGAAAAGCACAAGTTGCTCATTACAAAACGTAGGGTTCTCATGAGCTAATGGGAAAGAGTTGCATATACGGTACTCATGGACAATAGAATGTTATTTGTTTATGTGAAATGAACGGTACGTGTAATCCAATACATAAGGTGGGCGTGTACTCAATTAAAATGTACGGTAGTGTCAAAGCATCTGATCCCAGCAAGGCTTGTTGCTTGTGTTAGGGTGTGTCACATCGCCAAACTTACAATTTTCGGGAAAATCCGTCGGGCCGTTTTTGGAAAAAGTAACCAGAAAACGATGGTCGCTGAATTTAGGCGAGACTCGCGAATTTCGGTAAAAAGTAGCGAATTTGAAGGCCGTTTGAAAGGGCCGAGACCGGGTCCACTCGAAAACGGCCACGAATCTGTCGCGCACTGCTCATGGCGACAGAACGTACGACCCCCAACTGTAAGGAAAATCCCTTTTCCTTACTTCGCGTCCCTGCTCAGCGCGTACACCACTGTTCCCGCCAACAGCACCCCACAATAATCCGTTACCACTCGCGACATTCGCCTCGAACCCATTCCCGCCACTGTTCACGATGCGACCCAACCTCACGGTTCGGTTGGTAACCCGAGCTCCGGACCTCCGCCTCGACATTCCCCAACCTCGGTACCAGGCCCGTCGCGCGCCCTACTTTCCCACACGTTACCGTTACCACTGTAGCTTCGCTATATATTCTTCGCACAATCCTTCGCTCATTGTATTCTTGCCTTGATAGTGCAAACCTCGCTCGCTCACTCAAATTGCACTCGTAACACCTGGTTATCAGAGCCTACGATCTTTTCTCGGACCGCACCCACACCTTCGCTTCCCCACTATCTCAATTTTTTGGGGGGGGGTAGACGTCTCTCAGCGACCAAGCACCGCCGCTCGTAGTGCTCTCTCGTAAGCACGCACGGCCACGACAGAGGCTCTCGCTGAGCTTGCCAGATACCCCCGCCATGGCTGAAATCACTCTCGCGACACTGACGCAAGCACAGCTCGACCGTCTTGTACGCCAACTCGAAGATTCGGCCCTCGAAATCGCCACACTCACGGCGGAACGCGATTCCGCTCGCCAGCAATCGACAGTGAATGTGCCAGCACCAACAAATGCACCTGCACAATCCGAGGAGCCGATCAT